TAATGAACGAGAGCTTAATTTTAAAATATGTTTACACTCATTGAGATAATCTCTATTCACCATTTGTAATGATTCTTTATTTTCCACTCAATGAAGAGTGAAATCCTGTTTGTATTTAAAGCTTTTACCCTCTAACCTCAACATATTTATGATTTTAATTTCTTGTCACCTTGCTCAGTGCCTGCTAAGCTCCTGTCTCAATGGACTTCTTACCGTATTCCAGGAAAGCCCTGCTCTGTCATGACTTTGCACAGAGATACTTGCAATTACTGGTCTCTGGAATGTATAAAATGTATAAAAGCTTCTTTCTGAAACATCCCTAGTAATTACAAAGATAACATTCACTGAAAAGTATAGTTGGCCTTGGAGCACAGGTAGGCAAACTCTAAAACCCAAAATCTTAAACACTACTAAAGGCATACTTTACACATATGCATTATTAGGCATGATTATTTGACAAAGCTATTTATCCTTTTGGTCTCACTACATACTTAACACATTAGTAGATTTATCCTATTAATTTTCATGTCATCAGTGTCCAATACAATAAACATAAATCCAATAAGCATCTATTTAAAAACTAAAAAGTGTAACTTGAAATGCTTTACCATAAAAATGTTTTTCAGCTTTCCTGATTTCCCACAAATTTTTACCCATTTACACACATAGCCTTTGCATGTTTTAAATCATGGTATAGATACAAATTCTCTATCTATTTACTAATTTTTTTTCAATATTTTCACAATCTATTGACACATGGCATCCGTATTTGTCTTTTTAGTTGCAGATTCTGGAAAGTACTTAAGTACAGTAGTTGCTGATTTCAATTAAAAAACAGTATCATTTTCAGTGAACTGGTGTAGTGGTCCACTTTCCCACGCTGGGAAAGTGCTTGACCTGTACAATTTAAAGAAAGAAATGGTTTATTGGTTCATAATTTCAGAGGTTTAGTTCATGCTCAGCTGGATCCAGGACATGACCACCATGGCTGAAGGGAGGACTGGTTTATGGTGGTCAAGAAGAAGAACATAGAAGATGAAAACTGAAGAGGAAGGGTGCCAGGAATCAGATACAGTCAGTCCCTCAAACATACCAGACTTAAATGTCCTTTATTATTCTGCTAGGTGTGGCTCACTGCAGTCAAATTGATAATCAGAACTAACAGTCACACTTGCTTGTTCAACACCTCTCTTCTTACTAGATATTCACATGGATAACCTTTTTGCTGATAAAAAAAAGTGAACTAAAGAAATTAACTTCATGTATGTAAGCTCATCCAGTCTCTCTTCTAGTGGAAATGAACTGTAAAGATGTGACACATTAAACCCTTTGTGATTAGATTGGAGATGCCATCGGTTATTATATAGCAAGCTAAAGAAGAGGAAAACATTTGTCTGTGGAGGGTGCAATGAAGTTTCACAATCCACCACTTATTGTATTTGTAAAATTGCACGTATATCCGGGTTCCCATCCAGTGACTCTGATTTGGTGTAGAGACATTACAGAAAATCAGAGGTAAGAGTGAACTAAAGCATCATCCAATTTAACCACGTCTTGTTGCTTCAAGGAAACTAGATTCCAAAATAATGTATGTCTCAGCAGGAAGCTCAGAAATGTAGTGAAACTCTCAGAGCAAAGTGATGATATTTTAATGTATTCTTAAAGCAAAAATACAATGTGAAGTAGGAATTTGAATACAGTTTGTTCCGTGGCTCATGATGCATTTAGCAACTTGTCTTTATTTCTCTGCGAAGTATTCCAGCGCAATATCTTATAGCCCATTATAATAACTGAATATCTTCTGCTTATGAACAATTCTCAAAACATATGATTGTCATCTTAGAATCACATGCTCTTAACCTGAGTCAGCTTTTCAGTTTAATAACCTCAGTATTTACTGTAGTGGAGTTGCACAATAATTTTCAAGCCAGTGTTTTAAAAATGGTTTGATTCTATCTTTTCAAATTTTCTCTGAGTCAATTCCAGTATAAATCAGTTATTCTAGGAGAGTGTTAAGAGTGCACATTTCATTATTCAAAGTTCTCATCCAGTCAATATATTACAAATTGACCTTTATTATAAAAGTTTCATAAAAATTGCATCTTCAACAATTATATATTTTATTTATTTTTATTTTAATGTAGCTGTTATTCATTTGCAGTTACTCTACCAATATGACATTATCTGTTTGATGTGTAATTTTAAAGCATTTTGTCCTAGTATAAACTTTAACATATTTTTTCAACTGAAAATTTTTCTGGTTTTATATAGCCATGTATATTAATCTCATAGGTTCTCAGTTTACTTCTGTTTTTCAGACTTCTTTATGATCATTATTCTTTCAATTGTAGAGAAAATACATTGCTTTTTTGAAAGCAATGTGCTTTCATTACAGTTCATTTCACATTTATGTGCAGCATAAAATACAAACGGCAACTTCTGTTTCTGTTATTAGCTATTGTCCCAAAATTTTCGGTTATTTCTAGTGTTTTGACATGTTATTTTCTTCAAATGTGATATTTAATTATTCATTTATGTGGATTGGATTAAGAACACTCTTTGTGCTAATACTCTATCTGTATTTCCTAAAACAATCATATTAATTTCAAATATGTATGAGATTTAAATATTTTCTATCTTACGAACTGAATTACTTCACTATTAATCATTTTAGTAGATTAATTTATATATATTTTATTTGTTGTAGTAGGTTAATTTATCTATGTTTTATATTTGGGGAGCTACATTGGTATTACTTTACACAATGAAATAAATTCTTTGTCTCTTCCCTTAGCGAATTTTAGACTGAAATTTTTGTCTTACAGCATGAAGATTTAGGAAATTATGACATTTTCCCCCAAAACGTGCATCTACTGTTTTCCATTTCCTAATTGAAACTCTAAGATCCAATTATAGCTAATTACTTTCTTTAATCATAATTTCATTATTATTTGAATTATTTTTTACTAAAATAGGTTGTTTTCACTGCAAACACTAAGGAAATAATTTCCTATATCGTGCTTTATGTTGTATTATCCTTAGGTTGACTAAATTTCCTGCCAAGTGGTCATATTTTAAATATTTTAACCTGATTCCTTTCATGTGTAAGGATTTGAGTGACAATTTATATTCTTGTCCAGTCTAGGCATTAAGTGAAAGCCCCCTCAGAAATCTACAGGTGTCTCTTCATTATTTAATTCTACCAGTACTTCCTTTGGAAGAGCTACATGCTAGCCAAGTTTTGTGACCTGTAAAAAAACCAAAACCAAAACAGACCAAAACAAAACAAAAAAACCAACTGTGTCATTTTTAGTTACTTCTTCTTTCTGTAGTCTGTAGTCCTTTAGTTTTATCATTTCTTCATTAAAATTTCATAGCGTACAAAAATGATCACAAATGATTATAACCTTATTTAGAGGAATGTTTTCACTTATTCTTTTCCTTGCCGGGTTTTTATTCATTGTTTATTCATTTTTTCCCTCACATTTTGATCTGGGTGCTGAAATATGAAATTAGGTTTTTCTTATCTTACTTTTTCACCATTTCCAAACCATTTCATCCTTTAGACTTTACACTGTACCCTGTCTCACTTTTAATTCTTGTCCTCTTTGTCACTAATATAGCTCTCTAACAGGTAATTTCCATGCTATTTCTAAAGTATTAATTTGTTCTGAAACAGGTTTTAGTGAACAAGTTTTCAGCATTATATTAGTAATTATTATTTTTAGCATGATGTTAAAATTTCAGTGTTAGTGGTAGTTTCATATAACATAGCATAGTCTTTTCTAAATTACTTGAAATGCTTATAAAGTTATTGTTGAATTTTTTTCTTCTTCTATTTCATGGAATAATTTTTTCCAATAATTACCTTCTTCTGTTCTCTTTTCTTCCGTTTTTATATTTTGGGTATTTTATTAGTACATGTTTGAGATACACAGCCTTTACATTCATTTTGGAGAATTGGTGTATATACATCAAGTACCTCAATCATTTTTACTCCTCCCTTTCCCTGCCCTGCCATCAACATTTGCCTTAATGCTTTTATATTTTTAACTTGTCTTTCTGGATTGTTTATTAAGTGGCTTCAACTGAACTTTATATTTGGCCAATTATTTTGTGAATGTGTTATTTTTAGATGAACTCTATGTTTGAACTTTCCTTCCAGAGCAACTGATAGAAACTTACAGGTTGTTTGGTATTTCATGCTAGCTATCAAATCTATCTTATGAGAAAGATAGTACATGGAAGATATTTGTAGACAGTGAACTTTTATTCACTTTAGAATTTTCATACTGCTTTGTTGCAATCTGTCTTTTCATTTTTGTGCTGAGACAAAATACCTGACGCCCAATATGAAAGAAGGAAAAGTTTATTTCTTACAATTTTGGAGGTTTCAGTTCATACTCAGTTGGCTCCAAGGCAGGATGGCATGGTAGGGCCATCATTCATGAGAACTGCAAACAGCAAGGCAGAAACCAGCATGAGAGAGATAGAGACATACCTTCCTCCTGACTTTGCACGGTTAGCTGGCTCCACCCCTACACGAGTGTAGCTCTCACACCCCCAATTCAAGTGCTAGATTACAAACCAATCACAAAGGCTAGATTTAGTTGCGTCCATAATTGCATGAGGCTTGGGGGTCACTGACATAAACCATGACACAATCTCATAAGGTATTGTGAGTAGCAAAGATGGGAGAATTTTGGGCTGCGTTGTTGCCCCAGTTTACTATGATTCTCACAGCTGAGACCACCTGGCATCCATTCCTATTTACTTCCAATCCAGAACAACAGGAATGGCAAGGCATGTGAAGCTAATTCACTGACTGTTTACAATGAGCAGCTATTGTTACCACGAGACACAGGGGTTTCCACTGAGGGATCAGGAACTCGCCCTTACCAGGCAGGTGCCATGCCTCTAAGCTATGTCCCTGGTCCATGTTTATATAATTCTGCACTCTAAAAATAGTTCTCAATTATTTTTTGCAATAACTAGCACTATTGTCACTTGTTCTCTGTTAGAATGAGGCCAAGGGATAATTCTATCAATGAGCTCAGCTTCCCGGCATGTCAGATGACCAGTGGTCTGGCCTACTCCTCTCTCTTTCCAGCTGTCTCCAAGTCACCACCAGTCCTTCCATGGCTATTCATCTAGAAAACATCCAAAATTAGCATAATGCTTCTTACTTCCTTTCTTCATGTTCTGCACGCAGTGCTAGTCGTGACTTACGGGAGCTGCAGATGGAAGAAGGGAGATGAATGCAAGAAGGTATTTCGGTGGACTCTAATTCATCACTTCTACTTTCTGTCTGCTTTTTCTTTTGATATTAACACTTTCAAGATTCCTGATAAGGAACCAGGGCCTTTTACAAAGGTTGAGAGGTGACACTATTTTTTATTTTTATTTCTATTGGATGGTAAGGTGAATTTGAGAATTCTGTTTTTTCCTCAATCTTTCAATCACTAACCTCAGAACAATCTATGATTTTGACTATTATTATGACAATGAAATAACTTGCATTGCTTAGCATGCTTCTTATTTTGTTGCAATAAGCTAAATTATTATAATGACAACCAAACCTATGGCTTTTAGCTTTTTGTTAGTGGCTAAATTACCGAATTCTTAATCAATACCCTAATTCTTAAAAATGCTAAATTTTCACCCGCAAAATTATTGATGAATGAAGATAATTGTTTCAATGCAACTTATAGTGTTAACTGTAAAACCAACCCAAAATTTAAATTTTATTGCCAGGAAGGCAGTTGTAAATTACTTGTGCATGTGTGGGATACTTTTTCACCTTCCAATGAATAGAAGAAAAAAATTAATCTGTTGTTAATATTCCCCAGATTTGCTTGATGTTGCCATCAAGACAAATGGTATGAATACAAACACACAAACACACACACACACACACACACACACACACACACACACACACTTTGGCTTTTGTAGCATTTATCATGGTTTTCAAGGAAGTTTTGATTGGTTGATTTCTAGCAGATAAGTCTCAAAAACATTGCGACATATCACTCCATAGAATGACTATAAAATAAATTAGGTGCTGTTTACTTACAGTCTAAGTTTGCCACTGAGAATGAGAGGTCAAAATACTTTGCACCTTGGAATAATTTTCTTGTACCTTGAAAGTGTCTACTTGAGGGCAATTGTAACATACCTACATGTCTTTGGATAAAAGACAGGCCATTTTCTGAAGTTCCACGCACATTGAAACATGTTGGACACAAGTATTTTATTTTTTCTTTTTTTTTTTTTTTTTAATTTAAGAGGAAAAAGAGAAAAACACAAAACAAACCAAAGCGGCGTAAGGGTACACGCAATACAGAACTACAAAACAAAACAAAACAAAACAAAACAAAAAACCATAACAGTAAGAAATTACCTGCTAGTAGATTACACACTATTTTCTTGAAAATAGTTCCTCAAATCACAGTATCAAAGAACACAAGGTGGACATTCAAACAGGGAGACTGCAAACAGCTGTGTTCAATGTTCCAAAAACATTGATAAAGTCAGCTATTTAACACCCCCAAACACACTTGCTGTTATATCCGTTAGAGCTCCTTTTCTTTTTTTTTTTTTTTCCCTCTCTTTTTTACAACAAAATTTACACATCTTGGATTTTATTACTCCTTAGTGCTTATTACTTTCTTTGGGGGGGGGGGGAAGAATACAGTCAAATATGGCAAAACAAAGCGGACACAAGTATTTTAAACATGTTTTACATTTCACAGCAATTCCTTCATCTAAATCTTCTCTTTTTTCCTTGTCTGCGTATGGTGGCAGTTGAAACATTAACCTTCAGATAGCAGTTTCCTTAGTCTACTTTCTCCTTTCCTAGCTAGGATTAATTTTAATCAGATGGTAATTAAAATAGGCACTGCATAACCAACTCACATTTCTGTAGGTAATTAAAGCCTCTAGATTCATGCATTTTCCCCTCCTAGCTCTCTTAGAAGCAGTGGCAGTTAATTTGTATTTTTCCTCGCAGCACAGTTCTTGTTGGAATAAAGGCTCAGGTTCCAATAAATCTCTTGCAAATAGCTTGTCTAGGCGTTGGATATAAGAACAGCAGAAATTATAAACTGTTAATTTGTTCTTTTTTTCCCTTAAAAAGTCTAATTCCCAATTGTTTGTTGCTGACTCAAGAAGCTATGATTTATCATTGTTTTATTATGAAATAGTAGGAAGTTATGTCCCAGAAGTCAGGTTACTAACTAAATGCTGGAGAAAAGAAGAACATTTTTATTATTTCCATTCTTATGGTTTTTCTTTCATGCCCATATAATTACAAAGGATATTCCAAAAATCACTTATTCATATAGAGAAAAGTATTAGAAAATTTGATTATGTACATTATTCACTTCTTGTGCAATTACTATATCACCATACAGTAAAAATAGACCACCTACCTAGCCATAGTGCATAAATATCTGTTGTTATGGAACCCCATTACAAGTACTTTTTAGATTGACTCAAGTAATTTATGTGCATGCAATAGACAACATGGCACATGTCAACAAACGGAGTTACTGTATATGAATTTTTTTTTAAAGCAAAAGTTTTCTTCCAAACAAGGTGCCATGTTTTTTGCAGCTGCCATCATTCTGCTTCCAACCTGGAAGTGTTTGAATGTCCTTGGCAGCAAGATGCCTGGAGCATTAGGTCACTTGCCCAGGGCTTGACCAGCAAACAGCAACCCACCACAATCTCATTTCTTGGGAAGGGGCTGCCTATAAAGCACTGCTAGAGTCTCTGGTGAGCAGCTCGCTCTGCATCTGGTGGTTATGAAATCTCATTTCATTACACTACTAATTTACAGGGAATGAAATTATAAACAAGGTGATTACCAAGCGTAATTTATGGTCCATGTAATTATATAGCTGTCAAAGTAGTGCTGGCAGCTGAATTGTGCAGAAGAGGGCTGTACTTTTGCCTGGTTGACTGAGTTTGTTAATTGTCCACAGCTGAAAATATTTTTTGTACTGCAAGATCAGCAACCTGCGGCGTGGAGAGCCCAACTAGAGCTGGTTATAATTACCTGCCTGACCAGAAACGTTACCTATTGACTTTGAATACCTTCAGGTGATGGAAAATTACCTCCGCTCCCAAACTTTTGATCAATGGGGGGAAAAAAAGCGTTCTTATTTTGGGGGGTTACTGAAAACCACAAAGTACAGAGTCACAATATATTATCTCTATCTAAAAACTAACTGTAGTGTTTTAGATGTACGTAATAGGATAATAGTACTGAAAGATAACTTAATATTGCCCTAATGAAAATAAATAGAAACACATTCTACTTTTCCCCTTTATCAATGGATTAGGACTTTTTGTGTGACTTTACACAGCTTTATGGCTTGTGAGAGAGATCATATCTGAGGTTAATCCCAAGCAGGTGAAGAATACCCAACTGCTCAACCTGTTGCGGAAACAGACACATGAGAAACACATCAGAGAGGAGGCCCTTAAGCCAAAGGCTTTATTTACACAGTTTGATTGGCATGATATTTTTTGCTAATTTCATTTTTCTAGATATTACCTAGGAAATATAGGTACTTTAAAATTACATATACCTGAGTACTTTGTGCTGTCAATCTTAAAGTTTACAGTTTTTTTCAAAAACAGAAGCTTATGAATTACATAGCATATGTAAACTGATTAGTTCCTTTCTCTCATTTTGATTATCTTTCAGCTTCTTCCACTGTCGCATATACTGTTGAAAATGAGCAACAGGCATATTATCCTCTTTGTCTTTTATTGATGCTGTTTCCATGTTTGGAATTCTCTAGGATGGTTCCTCTTGATCAGGGATAAATACTGTATTATACTCAGTATGTTTTTTTTTTTTCCACCTACAAATTGAAAGATCCTGTTTTTGAGATTGGGCTTGCATAAATATTAGCATCAATGATAGGAAGTGACTTGTTTAAAAATAAAATTAAAGTTATAATAAGGGATATTACAGTTAGGTAACATTTTATGCAGCTACCATTAGGATATAATTATATCTATTTTTAAAAAAATAGCACTTGGGTTTCTACTACATGCTGAATGTACTGACTAATTTCCTCTTAGGCTTGACAGCTGAATGATTAATAATCAGGTAATAATGTTGTTTGAAAGGGTACATGGGAAAGTCTAGATACAGGAAAATTTGTCAAAATTGCTAAGATCACCTATTACTGGTAACCAGTATACACTTCTTAGAAAGCAATTTGTCATTGCTTTTCAGTTTATGAGGTCCTTTGGTTTTAACCTAAGAAAGTAAGTAGGTTTTATAATCGGAAAAGTGTTCATATAGACCACCTTATTGTTACCAGTAAAGATTAAAAATAATTGTGATTTCATAGAAGACTGTTTTAGTAAATCATAAGATAAAATCAAATTGAAGTTAAATAAAGCATTGTGTCACTTTTAATGGTAAGTGAAGACAGTAAACTTGTATAACACCGAAAACAAATAAAGAAAAGTGAGGTTTTAGAATCATGTACAGGCATACTTTACAAATATGATTCTCAAAGTGTTATTCTGTAATGCATCTTACAAAATCAAAGTTATTTTCGCCTTCTGTTCTCTATCCTAAAGGCCACATTTGGCTAAGCATGGGACTCCCGTTTCCAGTGCGGAGCCAGACCTCTCCAGTAATTGGCCAGTTTTGTCCTGGCCAGGATATCCTGCAGACTCATTTGCTGAACTAAAACCTGCTGCCAGTTCAGATACATTCAAGCCAAAATTGAGAAAATACCTCGCATGGGCCGTGGTTGACAGGGATGTCTGCTGAAGAGGATACATTCAAAACCAGCAACTCCTGTAAGTTAATAAAAACTCACAGCAGGGAATCCTATCTAAGGACTCTCTCTTGTCTTTCTGATCTATGGTTACCGGGAATTCAACCACTGGCTTACAGGTACTGATGCAAGCTGATTTTCAGGCAATGTAAATATTTGCCCTAGTGAAAAACTACAAAAAATAGAAAGCAAATGAAAATTAAATTTCAAAAGGAAAATGTCAAATTGTTACTTTAATTGCTAGGGGACTTTTGGTGTGGTATTTTATTTAATGACAATGCCCCCATAGCAAGATATAATTAGTAACAATTCTCCAGCTATCATAGTCCAACCATGCAAATCTGTATGTCAAAATAAACTTTCTATTACTTAATTTAATTCAAACACATACTCATGTTGATAACTTACTTGAACAAAATCACTATCTTTTTAAGATTCCACATTGTTCTTCATATTGATGAACTTCAGTGAACATGGATAAGTTATATCTTCTCCCATTTCCCTTCTCTCTCCCTCAACATGACTATACTAAAATATTTCTCCATCCAAGACATGAATTCATATATAATTGCATTTCAGTAATTTCTGCAGCATTCTATAATCATAATACCTGCAAACCTGATGACCCTGTTAGCCTGCACTAAACATTTCATACTGCTAACAGAAAAAGAGAAACCAAATCACAGCCAACTTAACTCATTTTTTCCACTGAAGTATACAATAGCAGAAAACAATTCTAGTTAAAATTCTAGCAACATAATGTAGGACAGAAGAAAGAGAAAAGAAAGAATGAACTAATGAAAGTAAGAGTAAAATTGTTAAAATTGTACAGTTTCAGGACACAAAGTAACCCAATGTTAAAAGGCTTTGTTTTCCGCCAATTCTTAAAAAAATAAATTCCTAAGAGTATAAAGCTATAATAACCCTGAAAACGCAGCCTGTTCTTTTTCTCCCACAGCCTTCCCTCCACAAGAGAGCACCTTTCTGATGGGGGCAGCTTATCTCTAAATTCAAACACATGCAAAAGCTTTGCATTCAAACACAGCCCACCAACTGAGTAACCTGACAGAGAGAAAGAGTAGACAAGCTATCAACCATCTTGAAAACACCCTGGAGACCTCATAAAACACCTGGCTCCCGAGTGCATCATGCTTTTCTCTTGAAGGTTCAGACTCTATTCTACCTGAGTGCAAACTTTTTAGCACCACCTGATAAACTTTCGCAATGCCTGAAAAACAGTGTTTTGTGATGGGATCAGCAAACCTACAACCTAGACTAAGGTGAGTGATTTGAGGTTCTCATCTCCACCTCAAATTCTCACTGGTGACTTTTCCTGTTGCAAATAAAATCCTGTCACGTTCTGTATCTATGTTTCTTTCACCTTCCATGTCTCTGGTAAGGAAAAATTTCCTTAATTTTCTTGATGTGCCAGATTCAAATGCGTATTCAAAAGAGGGAATTAAGGCTTTTTTCCCACTAACATTCTAGACTTTGACTAAATCCCAGCTTTAGGGATGCGGCCCAATCTTTCTTTTCATTTTGCTTTAAAACGTGATAATTTATGCTACACCTTTTTATCATAATACTTCTTAAGATCCCCTCAGTTTTTGCAGATGAGGGAGGTGTTTTAAAATTTATTCCAATAGCTTAGAAAGCGAAGAGTGATTTGCCTTTCAGCTCTTATTTCGTCTCTGCCTAATGCGGTTGTGATAAACATTTTTCTTAGCTTCTTTTCCAATTCCAGGAGTGAGGGGATTGGAGAAATCTTTTTGAAAAAAGAGTATTGATCTGAATATGCAGAGCATTTTAATGGAGACTATTTTGCCATCCTTCTTTGGTAAAACATATTCTGTACCAGCTGCTGAGAAGAGGGTATTTAAACCTAAACATGGTTTTCATAGCAATCTAACTGTACATAATCAAACTTATGACTAAGTAAACTGTGAATTACCTGATGTGGGCAAAGTAGGTTTTCCAAATAAGAAACTCACCACCAGGGACACTTCTCAACTGAAAGTGGGCTTTGCCCATGACTTTCTGTGATGTGTTAATGTATTATATCTCTCTTCACTTCACACTAGCTGGCAGCAGTTCTTACATTTGTCCGATGTTGTGGAAGGAAATAAAAGTACTTGTTACCCCATTTCTAAGGCAGGCAGACTATTATAATTTTTGCTTTCTTCTTTCATTTTCTTTTTTTTTTTTTTTTAATTGTTTCCTCCCCCCGGTGTTTATCTCATTAACACATTGTTGAATTATTTCCATCTGGCAAGCAGAGAAAATTGCCTGGGATTATGGAGACCATGCCAAAAGAGAACATGATAAGTTATTTATTAGTTCTGGGCTTCTGGTTTCTTTATCCTAGTGGGAGTTGTAGAGATAGTTATTCAGTGCTTATTTGTAATCTTTTTATTTAAAGAGAAAGCAAATGCTGATATTTCTGCATGGAAAAGAAACACTTATCTGTACCTAAATAAACAAGAAATACTAATTTCCAGAGATGCTTATGATAGACAGGGATAGCCGCCGAATACAGAACACAGTAAAGTTTTATAATAGGGCTTCCTTACTGATAGGTCAAGCTAAGGAAATATTAGTCAGGTTGGCAACGCTATGATGGAATGGTGATAAGTCGGACACATATCACCAATGACCAGAAACTTGAGTTTAGGAAGAAAGGAAAGAGATAATAGCATGGGAAAAAAAGTGAGAATAATTGATAAAATATTAAGCATGAACAATATGAATTAAGACATTTGTTCCAGTCTTGTTGGTACTTAATGGAGTCTTGACATGACAAGACAAACGGGATGTTGTGTTTCCCAGTGTGTATATAAAATGGTAATAAATGGCACATTTACTACTTTGCAGTGGTCATAACCAAGGCAGCAAATGGAACAACTGCATTTAAAGTAATGAAATAGGACCCTAAAGTATAAATATCAGTGTCTTTGAAATAATTAAGCAAAGAACTTCTCTGTTTTTGTTTTGTCTTGCTGTTGGTTTTTAATTTTTCTTTTTGAGATAGGATCACACTATGTAGTCCAGACTGGTTTTGAACTCACCATGGAGCCCACCCTGGCCTCAAGCTCTCAGAGCTCCTCTTGCCTTAAGCTGAGTGCTGGGGTTGCTGCAGTGGCCCCCCACACTCAGCACTGCTGCTCCCTCAAGGACATTTTAATGGTACTAAATAAGAAACATCATGGCATTGATGCACAATAAAAATCTGTGAGAAAGATGGAAATGAATATAACTAGGCATCTTTACATCACATATTCCTGAGCTACCTGAACCATCTTTGAGCTATTTTGGAGTTTCGGTTATAGAAAGGAAATAGTACTGAAAACAAGCCTTCCTCCTAGGCATGCAATAGGTTTTGTCTAGTTGAGGTAAATACATCCCTCTACATATGACTGCCTTGCACATTCATTTACCCACAGTTAGTATCTGTTACTAACTCCTACTTTTACATTCAATTTAGCATTAATGATAGCATATGTATGTGTATGTGTGTTTGAATTTTTTCCTGGACCTATTGTAAGTATTTGGCATGTGTTTGATTTAAATCTGCACATGGGTCTTAATGTTAGCTAAGTTGTTTAATAATCATCTTTTAAATAACTCTTGTTTTACAGAAAAGCTTTCTTAGCTGGGGGACTGAGATAAGAAATCAGGATGGTTATGTGGAGAAAGTAAACAGGATCTGGTCTTAATTAAGTTGATCTTAAAAAGGTGTAATTAATAAAGACAGTACTCAAGGTGTGGCATTGATTATGTGGCCAAGCAAAGACTGAGCTCAGGACCTTAAATGTAAATATGACATGTAAATATGGATTGTATGGATGATGCACAAGAGGCTTAATAATATTCAAAAGGACATGAATCAGACACACGAGCTTAAATACCATAAGGTAGCTCTTATTTGATTCAGGTGAAGAGCTATTTAAAGATTTTGTAGAAGGAAGAAAGGAGATTGGTCTTTTACAGGTGGAAAGAGCTTCACAAGATCAAAGGTAAAGGGAGGGCTGTGAGAAAGGAGATATAAACAGATTTAAGATGTGTCATGTAAAAGTATCAAATACTCACAAAGGTTATAGTTATAAGCCATAAACATAAACTAAACGTAACAATGATAATAATAAAAACAGGGGAAGGGATTTAGGGCTGCACGGAGCTGAGTACAGAGGGAGAGGGGAATAAAACATAATCGAGATACATTATATACTTGAACCTATTCCCTAAAATCAAGGTAAACTTTATGTACTGCAAACATGCCATAATCAAATAAAATTTAAAAAGAAGAATTCAGACCTGACCAATAGAAAATAGATTTTTGCCATGCTTCACCTAATTTCCCACTGATTACTTAAGATAGACAAAAACATTTTTCAACACTTCACATTTGCTTTTACCTGAATTTGTGCATGCAATAGGGCATGGAATCCCAATCTGTAGTATCAGTTCCGTTACGAGCAGTGCTTCTTTCAGTTGTTATCAATCCTCCAATAAAAAATTTCTCTGTGGGTTGCTATAGATACTTGAGCAGATACCTTTTTTCTAAATATGTATTATTGTGTCATGGATTAAGCATGATATATAATCCTTATAAAAATCTCTCTCCACAAGCTTTATACTTAATGCAAGTATGCAACATATTATGTTGGAATTTGGGGTATCTTTTAAAAAGAAATTAAAATTAATGGACAATGTAAGGTTATAGTATTCCTGGATTTTGCCTGCCAATTTCATAGTTAGAATTTGACATGGACAATTACTGTATTTTCTTCTGTGTTTTTACACTGCCAAATTGTATTCCATTTTCCCCTGGCCCATTCCATTCTGTGGCTAATGGATTGTCTTCCGGCTCATGAATATGAATGGGCAGTGCCACATCCAGTACAGATTGTGGAGAAGTTGAGTAACTTATTTGTCAGGATTTTCTCCTTATTTCTCATTAATAAGCAACTGTCATCCCTAGGGACTGCTGCCTTACATCCTCTTGTATTGCATCCGTACATCTAGATAAATACCCACCCTGTCTTTCCCATTACCAACTTTTCAAAACAGCTCATTTTGTTGTTCAAAATTCTCACTATACTTGCAACTCCAGCTTCACCCATTATTTCCTTAATGTATTCCTTCCAAACTTACAAACAAGTAATAACATCAAGTCAGGTATTTTTGTTGACTGTGCTACTATTGCTGTTGTCATTCCACTCCACAAAACCCTTCACGGTGCCAGTTGGCTTTTATTTTATTAGCATTTTAGGAGACAAGATAATGAAGTTATGTGGATACTTTAAAAAGATGTGCAGTAGAATATGAAATTCCTTTAACACATGTCATCAGAACTCCTTACCTCCTGCATGGATGCACTTAGTAGAAGATTTAAGTATCTTGCCCAATGTTATTTCAGTCAAACGTCGATTCTGAATTTTTGATTCTCTTTAGAATATTCTTTCTCATACTAGATTGATTCACTACTGCTGCTTTAAAAGTAAATAAAATAACTTTGACTGACAGACTAGATACAATCTAGTTGTTCTCAAAAACAAAAATTGTTATTCTAGAGCTTGTATTTACAAGAGAAAAAGTCTTATCTAAATGAATTTGTAAAATGCTCAGTTTAATAAATATCACAATGAAATTACAGAGGGAAATTGCTGGTTTATTACTCAATAAAGTACTTTTGAGAAACTTTGATTGATATGGTCAACTCAGGATAGGAAGTGATTAAATTCTAGGTGAAATTCTTCTGCATGATTTATGGAAACATAAAGAACAGGTGAGATAAATGAGCCAAGGCACTATGCTATAGGTTCTACATATCCTTCCTTCAGTAAAACAGAAGACATTTTGAGAGGTCTCTCTACCCTACAAAAGAATTTATGCATACTCATACATCACTTTAAAAATACACATACTGACATTGATAACAGGAGCCAACATGTCATCAGTGAAACGGGATTTTTATTTCAAATTGGCCCTCTAAATTCAGTCTGCTTATTTATTTGCCTTTTAACTCCCTAAAATACATAATGGTACTAAATAGAGTGCCTACCGTACATTTTATTGTTCAAACAAATTTAATAATAATGGGCTTGAAATCTTTAAAACATTACCAGAATATCAAATCCCTAGAAATGTAACATACACATAGAGTTTTAGTCAAAAATTCAAGTCAAAAATTCAAGACTTTGATTAAATACTTTCTTTATAATTTTGACACACAGTCCTGCTCAGAATATTATTTCTGATGTTCCCTATCTATACAAACATAATGTTCAGATAAACATTAAAATATCATTTTGTTCTGTTTTGTTTGATTTTACTAGGTCTGATGGTGTG